TTTTCTGCGCCAGGCTTCCCTTCCTCACCAAACCTCTCTGTAAACCACCTCTTTCCATGTCTCACCTTTCAGGCCACCTCCAAGTCCCTCCGGTACCATCACAGCTGCCTACGGCCAGCCCCAAAACCATTCCATCCCGGTGTACGAGATGAAGTTCCCGGACCTGTGCGTGTACTGAGAGCGGCCGTGCTGGGAGGGCAGAGGCTCCGCTGCACAGCTCGCACCGAAGGATCTCCTGGGGAGAGACTGCTGACCCTGCGGGGAGCGCATCCTCGCGCAGGACGGGTGGGGACAAAGACACCGAGGCCACCCCAAGATTCGTTGGCACCACAAACCCGTCTCCCGTACTTTTATTTTGTGACCCTCTGCCTCCGCAGCCGCGTTTTGCTGCGGTTGGTAGCGCGGGAGGCTCGGGACGCAGCGGCGCGGGGAGGTGGGTAGTTGCTGTGAGCTCCCTCTCCGGGCAGAACACGCTGGGCACGTCCATCTTCCCAACATAAAGCAAACCTGGTCCCCGGGGAATCCCTCCCCACGTCCGTCGAGAGCCCCTGGCAAGGGGCAGGGCTGAACCTGGAGGGTGTGAGACTGTCAAAGGCAGGAGGGGGTCTGGGCTGCGGCGTGCTGGACCCTGCGGCATCCGCAAAACCGAAGCCTGCCCGAGCTGGTGCTTGAGGCAGGTTGCTGGAGGGGGTACGGTCCCCTGCGTCGTCCCGCAGCCCCCTCATCGCGTGGCCAGTTCCCCTGGGCGCTTCCCGGTGCCCGGATGCCCCGGCCGGAGGGCTTGTCCAGCGCAGCACGGGGGTAGTGATCGTCCCATCCCAGCGTGGGGGCACACAGCAGCCTGGCTGGTTCCAGGTCACTTGAAAACACGATTTCTTTGGGAAAAGCCACTTTTATTTTTGTTTTTTGTTTTGTTTTTTTTTTTTTTGGAAAACCCCCAAGACCTGGAGCAGTGACACGAGGCACGAGCAACCACCGTGAATATTAACACATGAACCCGCTGTTTTCGTATTTTTAGGTTGCATTGTCACAGTTTTGGGGTTCCTGTCTCAAAGAAAGAATTATTTACTTATTTTTTTTTTATAGCAGAATCACTTTGAAAAAGTCCGATCTTAAATCAGCTGAGCCGTAACCACAACGCAACCCCAGCGCCGCAGGAAATAACTGCGACAAGAAATGTTTTACAGGGTCCACCCTGCAGACCCTGCGTCTGGCGGGCCGTGGCTCGCGCCGCCTCTCGCGCGCTAGGGCAAAA